CGTAGCAAGGAGATCGGTAAAATAATCCATGTGACATCAGGGGTTCAACCGTAATTTTACGAAGCTACGAGAATAATTTTTGTATGCAAAGAAAACTAAAATAAAGACTTTATTCAACAATTCGTCTCCTCCACATCACCCTGGTGCCATTTTGGAGAATATCCACTGAATGTAAACAGCGTATGCTATTCTGTGTCAGCTGCGTCACGCGGATACGTTTTCTACGTAAAATTACGGTTGAACCCCCGATGTCACATGGATTATTTTACCGATCTCCTTGTTATGTTTCTGGACATTGACCGTGTTAATTACATTGCTGTCAATGGGAGGGTCAGAGAGCTCTCAGAATTCATCAAAAATATCTTAATTTGTGTTCCGAAGATGAACGGAGGTCTTACGGGTTTAGAACGACCTGAGGGTGAGTAATTAATGACAGAATTTTCATTTTTGGGTGAACTATCCCTTTAACATGCACGGATTAAATGTTCACATCAAGACTAGCAATGTGCGCTAATAAAGTAAATAAAGTCACTAACTTTAAACTACTGTATGGTTAGTGTAGCAAAACTGGTTAATTTGTGGTTGCCATGGTTTAACTATAGATTTTTTTTTCATAAGGGATGTGTTGCCAGGTTACAACAACAACAAAAATGTAATAAATTTACACCTTAAAGTTCACCTAAAAATGAAAATTACCCCATGATTTACTTACCCTCAAGCCATCCTAGATGTATATAACTTTCTTCTTTCAGACGAAAACAATCGGAGTTATATTAAAAAACATCCTGGCTCTTCCAAGCTTTATAACGGGAGTGGATGGTAGCCCAAAATTTGAAGTCCAAAAAGAACCAATTCATTATAAAAGACCTTACGATGAATATACACCTTTCACTATTTTAAGACTACAAGAACTTTGGATAGTTTCCAAAAGAGATCGGATGAGCAATAAAAAAAATCTGACCAAAATCTCTGTGTGGGTAGGCCAAACAACATCTTCATCAGAATGACAAAAACAGCAACTCTTCAATGTCTGACTTATATTATAATTACGTCCATACGCTTTTTGTGAAATTTGGATTAATTCATTAATCAGTTGTTTGATTAATGTTTCGTATTTAAGGAGAGAACAAACCTAAGCCCTTGCACACTACTTACACAAAATGTTGTAACTTTATCCCAATCATATCTGGAGGAAAAACACAGGCTACTGCAATGCAATGATGATTGAAAGATGAACAAATAAACTAATTTTTCACACACACAAAAAAAAAAAGATTTTTTTTTTTTTATGTAAAAACTCACATCAGGAACTATTCGTTTCTGTCAAAACAACTACGGTGACACATTTACAAGGATTTCTGTATTTCTTCATCACCGTTTTGTTCTGCAAGCATTACACAAACGGTATTCAAAAAGGATCAACAAAGTAAACAAATGATTAGCAACAAGCCCAAAGAAAGATTGAGCTCAGCTCAACACAAACCCTGCTCTCCTCGCGTTGTACCGTTTGTTACTCGCTGCCATCTTGCGGCGGTAAAAAGAACTGCGACCTTTAAAATGGCGGCAAAAACAACCTCATTCTCGTTACTGTAATGTAATGACATTTTTGTTTTGAAACGATGAATTATAAATAATAGTATTTGCTGTGCGGCCTTTATGTTGATTTTAATAAAACAAATGTGCCTGCAGTTTGATTCGATATTATAGCCTTTTTTCTAATGTGAATCATTCTTACCAATAACAATTATGCCTAGGCCTAAATCAGTCAGACACCTCACCACAATAAAAAACAAACAAAAAATGTTAGGGGAATGTGCTTCATTTAATCTTTAGCCAGTATATACTTCGGTTATATCCTATTTTTGATTTGACTTTGGTGTGAGATAACCTGTTTTTATACAGTCTATCCCTGTTGAAAAAAACAGCATATGCTGGTTAGGTATGTTTTGAAGCTGGGATGCTGGTTTGAGCTGGTCCTTTGCTGGTTTGAGCTAGTCCTTTGCTGGTTTATGCTGGTCCTTTGCTGGTTTATGCTGGTCATACCAGTTTAGGACCAACATAAACCAGCAAAGGACCAGCTCAAACCAGCAAAGGACCAGCTTAAACCAGCAAAGGACCAGCTTAAACCAGCATCCCAGCTTCAAAACATAACCAGCATATGCTGGTTTTTTCAACAGGGATGGAGATAACACGTTTTCATACAATGAGCATAACACAATGCTATTTGATAACAACTTTGTCGACAACTGTTATCTCATCTGCACAGCTTTTTACAGACCTTAACAGTATTATTTAACCAGTAATAAAATGTATCATGGACTCGTGACCATGTATTGTTTGCAGCCAGAGTTATAGGCTATTTGTCCAGGCCAAGTTTAACATTTGGCTGCCTGAGAATCACGCATATAAAACAAACCACCATGAAATTTAAAGCCATATTGATAAAGGCTTAAAATGTTTAAAATAAACCCATTTCATTTCATAATTAACAGCAATCAAGAGAATGAGAAGAGAACACAGTGACACATTTAGGAATCTTTTACATCCATTACATACAAGTGCATTTAGAGACAGAATACAGGAAACGTATTCAGCGTATTGAGAAATGCGTGATGGCTCAGCATTTTTTTTTCTGCTTTCAGAGGATATTTCATTCAATGGTACGTTATTGTCATAAAGTGTTCATAGCATGTCCTTACAGGATAAAGGTTAAAGGTTACAACATAAAAGCTTAAATATCTTCAGATAGTGTTTTTTTTTTTCTCTGAGAAAGTAGGGTTTGGAGTGATTTGACAATTTAGTCATGTTTCATTTTTTATATAAATGCTCCATTTGAACTTCAATATCTAGTACATTTTGTCAAGTCTTTCAAGTGTCAAAAAATAACCTTTAAAAATGTTGTATTGACCCCACACAGCACTTTAGACCCAACCAATGGGCAAAAGACACAAATAAGTGAACACCCTCCCTCACGCCACATCAAATTCCTTCATTACACAAAATAGTCTGTACTTAAACCAGTTCATTCATTCAATCCCAGCATTCAATATAATGACTTTTATTTGTTGTCCAGTGGATTGTGAGTTTATTGTGGAAGCAGGCTGTGATGTGGATAGTGACTTTAGCTTGCTGGGGTCCGTAGTAATGGGGTCTTTTCACTGGCTGAGCTGGATGGGTCCACATCTGCGCTGGGGTGATCACCCATCCTACTTTTTACCTGCCGGTGAAAAGAAGAACAAGTTAGTATAACAGCAAAACAACAAACAAAAGTCCCCACTAAAATTAAAAAGTCTCCACTAAACCACTTAAAACAGTTTAAACAAATATAAAAGCTTTATCTGAAATTGTATTTTTGGTAAAACAAAAAAAAACATGAAAAAAAAAACAAAAGAAAAATATTAGTTAATAAAAACTCTTAATTGATGCTTTTTGTTTGATGAATTTTAACAAATTGTATTTAACACAAAGCATATATTTTATATTTCATATTTCAATTCATATATTTTTATGATCAACATACAATAAAGTATAATAATAATAATATTATAAAAATAATAAAATTGACAGTAAGAAGTACATGAACAAAAATATAGAAACTTATTTTTTTGTAAAAGAAAAAACAAACAAAAAAAAAAAAATCTTTTTTGGAAAATACTCTTACCTGTGCTTACAAATCAACACCCAGTTTGATACAGACCCACAAACACCGTTTCCCTCTAATGTAATTTTTTCCTCTAACTTTACGTCACACCCACACAGAAAAAAAAATTAAATGTCGTGCAGATAAAAAATGTGTGGGCAAAGCCATTTCATTGTATTCTAGTCAATGAGAAATACTTGCAGTGCTATAATATAATACTATTTTTAAGTCTAATAATAAAAAAGTATAAAAAAATCCTTACATGACATTTATTTTAAAATTAGCTTCCCATAAAATGTCTTGGTAAAGAATTAACACTGAACTGGGGAAAAAAAGTTTCCCCAGGTAACCTAAAAGTGCTTCATTTTTATTATAAAACTTCTGAATTAACTGCTTGACATGATTTATTATTATTAAGTTACATCAAGGGCCAAATTGGTGTAACTGCATGTAACCACTTTTTTGTGTGTGTGTACGCTGTAAAGGTCTGGTATAAGAGATGTTTTTGCCCAGGTGACCAAATATTCCACCCAATAGAGAAAGTTTTTTCTTTGCAAGAAAACAAATTAGAGGGAACACTGCCCGAAAAGTTCTGATGAGTTATGATGGACAGATCAGTGAAACAGATTAAATTAATTTACAGTGACTATAAAGGTGAAATGAAGACATGCGTTCACTTCAATGTGCTCGTGTTGCTCCAAAAATGTCCCACCTGCAGAAGAAGAGTTTGAGAAGAGGCGTGTCTAAGCCAAAAAACCCACCTGTCGTTCATGCTATGTTTTTCAGCCTCCGTCTCATTGGTCGGGTCGTGTTTTGTATCTTTTACGCTTTCCTAAAAGAATAACCAGACCTCATTGAACATCAGGGGGGCAGTGACACTGATTTGGAGCCAGCGGTCTTCAGGTTGATTATTGGACACAGTGACAGTACTGAGATCATCACAGCGGACAGAAACTGAAGGGAAGTTGAGCGGCCTGTAGTGCTCGTGTGCAGCAATTCATGCATGATGTAAGTGATTGAAATGGGGCGGGAGCATGCAAGATGAACATGATCGTGCAGTGGTTAAATCACATGCCTTGACATTTGATTTGCATATTTTTATAATAAAACTCATCGGTCAGGGATCATCGCGCTCTGGCTGTCCATTTTTTCAAAGCAGCAACATTACATTTAAGTATGATCAGGCTTTGCTTTTTTCAGTTCACCCAAAAATAAAAAAATATGAAAAAATGTATTCACCCTCAGACCATTATAGATGTAGAAGAGTTTGTTTGTTCATCAGAACAGATTTGGAGAATTGTAGCATTCCATCACTTTGCTCACCAATGGATCCTCTGCAGTGAATGGGTGCCGTCAGAATGAGAGTCCAAACAGCTGATAAAAACATCACAATAATCCACAAGTAATCCACACCACTCCAAGTCCATCAATGAATGTCTTGTAAAGTGAAAAGATGGATTTTTGTAAAACCAAATCCATCATTTAAATGTTTTTAACTTTTTTTAACAAGCAGTTGATTCCAGTCCTCTAACCATAATATTGTTTTCTCCAGTCAAAAGTTGTTTTGTCTGAATCAGGAGTGAAATACGCATAGATCAAGCATGGTTTACAAGCAAAATCAGTCCAAATCAGTTCTAAACAAATATGTAGGTGGATTTTGATGTGAAAGGACAACAGGGGATGGACTTTTTCACCGAAAGAAGCGTTATTATAGTTTATGGGCTTGTCCAGATGCTATGGTTTAAAGTTAAAATGCCTCAGTGATGGATTTGTTTCTTACAAACATGCAGCTTTTCTCTTCATAATATGTTAACTGATGGACTTGGAGTGGTGTGGATTATTTGTGGATTATTGTGATGTTTTTATCAGCTGTTTGGACTCTCATTCTGACGGCACCCATTCACTGCAGAGGACCATTGCTGAGCAAAGTGATGGAATTCTACAATTCTCCAAATCTGTTCTGATGAACAAACAAACTCATCTACATCTATAATGGCCTGAGGGTGTGTAAATGTTTACTTTAAATGACACCGTAAACAATCAAAAGTGTTTTAAAGTCTAGAGATTTGAAAATTACATGCATATACACATTTTTGATTGTAATTCGCACTGTAATCTCTGTTTTTTAATATGCAAATATAAATAGTTGGTGCTGACCCCCTGTGTGAGAGATACTGATGTCTTTTTCGTGGCTTTCTGTAAAACAAATCATGCAAATGTTGCACTTTAGACCACCTAAACCCATGCAGAGTGTTAATGTGGGGTGATAAAGGAATATTAAAAGTGCATTTGGGTTCTTAAGCTAAACCTTACCTTTGCAGACACAATTAAAAAACAAACTGCATTTGCTCAACATCACGTAAACTCACTTCCTCTCAATAGCTCACATATCGCACATGCACTCACACAAACATACATGCTCTGAAGCAAAAGATATTATACGTAAAATACTCAAACATGCAAAATAAGCGCAGTAAGCCACGTACCTTGTCATTGACGTATAACATCACGGCTCCCAAAATGCCTGCGAGTCCGAGAGCGATGAAGATGTACTGCATGTACTCCATGACCATGGGCAGCACCACCAGACTGGTGCGGAACGTGTTGAGGACGGGACCATCAATGTAGCCGCTCTGGGAAAGATGAAAAATGTTCTCTCTTTCGAATTGAATTCAAGTCACATTTACTCATACAGTGTTTTTATACAATACAGAGTCACAGTAATAAACAACAAAACAACGGTTTTAGTGTCGCGAAGGTCTTTAGCTATGAAACAAATACAATTTCAGCTGTAAAGCAGCTCCAAAAAGAAAAAAAGTGTCATTAATCAGTCCATTTAGTTCAGTGTAGAATTAGAAATGATGCAGAATTCATTATAAAAACTAATTTGATTCAGCTATAAAGCAGCTCTACAAAAGACAACAGTCATTATTCAGCTCAATTTAATTTTGTACTCATCCAATAGTGTCAGCGTAGTAAAACTGATCATATTACTAAACATTAAGGGTCTTTTAAACCCCAAATTTAAGTGAATTTGAGATGTGAAACTAAAATGTACCAAACTTGTAAATGGAAAAATGCTGTATTTTGGCACATTTCAGCCATTTGTTGGGGACTCGCCATTTTATTTAGACATCATGAGATATTTTTTGCCGTTGTTTTCTTTTTGTAATTCACTCCTACCTCTTCAAACCAGATCATGGGCATCACCACTTCAGCTATATTTCCGGTTTCTCTGAAACGAGCAAACCACAGCACACAGAAATGAGTCACTGTAAAGAACAGTGCTGCCGTCAAAAACAAACACGTTTCACAACAGCTTCTGTGAGTTCTGTGTGACTGGACCTCAGAGCGGACACAGATATTTGAGACCGTTGACCTACTGTATCTGTTCCGTACTTACGAGATGCCAAACACACTCTTGATGAGCAGGTTGAGCTGCAGCCGAATGGAAACTTTCATTGGCACTCCGGTCTCCTGTAATACAAAGTTTTCAATGAAAACTGACTGCTTGATACAGATCAGATTTATTTCACTCGGGAAGAGAATTTAAGCTCTTTGCTTCAACACTATATTTTTAATCTTGAAGTATTAGTTTAGTAGAGGTTTAGCTAACATCCAATATAAAACACCCAGTACATTGCCTTTATAAACTTGATTCTATAGAACAAGGTGCTCCAAGGTGCTCTTGAATAAGGGGCCGTTTACACGACAACGTTTTCAGCCAAAAACAGGAAACTTTTTATGCGCTTTGCCTGTTGGTTTACACGACAACGGCGTTTTGGGGAATGAAAACGCATATTTTTGAAAAATGGGTTTCAAAGTGCAAGTTTTTGAAAACGCCACCGTTGTCGTTTCCGTGTAAACACCCAAAACGGGAATCTTTGAAAACGGTGACGTCATGCATGTGCGTAGTACGTGTTAGGTATGTAGACATGCACAGTACGTGTCGATTTTAAAGGCAAGCGCGAACAAACATACACAACAATGACGGAGTATATGGTAGTGTTTAGTGATGGGAAACCGAGGCTTTCTGAACCGTTTAAGGCTTTCATGAAATTGTGCCGAAAAACGGTTCATTACTCGAAGCATTTTAACACAGTGCGCATTAGCGACATCTGGTGGTCAGACTCGGTTTCTCCAGCCTATCTAACGAAACATCGCGGAGCAGAGGATGGTTTGAAAAAGTTTTTAATCTGTGCCAACTCGTGTCATGTGTAGTCCGGTCAGTGGACTAGAACATGATAAAATGTAATAGAGGTGTGACGTGCATTCAGTTTCTGTCTGGTGTTGAGGTTATTCTAAACTATTCTACTGAATCTCAAATAAGTGTACGCACACACAACCAAGTCAATGTAAATCAAACACAAGAGTCATGCGAAGTGCCGATTTTTTTCAACCTTCCGATACTGCATGACGTTCGAAGCTTCAAACGTCATCAATCATGTGGTATTGTCATTTCGATACAAGCATCGGCACAGTGTGTGATACAATAGTGCTTTGAAAACTGCGTCGGAGCCTCGGTATCAATCGTCCCATCACTAGTAGTGTTGCTGCTGCTCAAGAGTTTGCTAACGCTTTTTCAGCAAAGTGTGGATTTACTTCACCAATATTACACCCAACAGCAGAGAAGGATTATATTCAAAATATAATCGTCACTTCCTATACAGGTACTGTTTACTAACAAGGTGACAGCGCCAACTACTGGCCTGGCATAGGTAGTAATACAGCGTTTTTGGCCGTTTTCGCGGATATGTGTAAACGCGAATCTTTTTGAAAACGTTGTAGTGTATACGTGAAACTTTTTAAAAACGCAAGGGAAAAACGTTTCCATTTTTGACTACATCATTGTCGTGTAAACGTAGCCTAAATCTTTGGTACCTTTTAAAAAACAACCAACACATAATACAAGTTAAAGAGAATATATATATATATTCCTGATGAATAAGTAAATAAACTAGAATATCCATAAATGGCTTATAGGATCCCTGAAACCCAAGCCTGGATGAAAATCAAATGTATAAGTATAATTTGAACATTTTCCCTGGTATATAAATCATACACTATCATCCAAATAATATTTATGGCTGAATTTATTTGATCAAAAATACAGCAAGTGAAATAGAATTACAATTAAAAAAAAAAAACGTTTTCTGAAACAAATGAAAAACAAGTGAACACAAATAAAGACACTATTATAAATGAACATAACTGCTCAAAACATAAACATTAGTTGAGAAAACAAATGTGCAAAGGCATAATCCTTTGGAGTGAAAGGTACTCCGTTTTATGATGAGTCCAGAAGGTTCAATGACCAACATGGCTTCTATGAATTCAAAAGGTAAACACATGCCTTTCTGCACTATGAAAATCAAACATTTAGTGAACTACAGTTAAGATTTGGTACCAATGAGTTAGATTCCCAGGGAACACTAAATACTATTACAGCAAGTTTTAGCTTGAATACATATTGGATTAAAGCTGTAAATGGTAGCTGCCATTAAATAAAGTTGGTATGTCCTGCGGTGGCCCCTTATGTGACTTTGTGTTTCAAGGGCTGTTTGTCTTCATGAATAAGAGATACGAGGGAATGTTTATGGAAACTCAAGGTTTATGGGATGTTGTTTTGGTATAACACTACTTATTGAATTTGTGCTGGTCAGACGAAGTCTAAACACTGAAACATACGCAACTAAGATTATACAATACTATACTAAGACTATACAATAAACTCTGCTCCTTTTTATCATCATCACTTTGTCTCCTGCTTCTGCTCTTCACTGGCTTTTCTCAGTCAACGTCTTGGCTGATAGAAGACCGTTAAACACTCGTTTTGGGTATTTTGGGTACCAGACAAGACTTTGCTGTTAACAGGTTTTGGGGTATTAGGCAGTTTTGCTGACTAGTTGTTCTGTTACCAGATAAAACAGATATTTTCTGACAGGATCTGGCATCTGGGGCTGGATCTTAATTATCTGGCGTGGAGGCATGATCTAACAAACAGAACTAAACTGCATTGTTCTCTATTTAAATCATTATTTTGTGGGCATAGATTCAATGAGAGCATGTGCTTCCGCAGAAAACACTGAATCCAAAGAGCTTTCGTGACAACTTAGTAATGCATTCACAGACTCTGGAGCTAATCAGGTGTCATGCCGTCAATTCATCCCAGACGCTCAACCCAAGCCGAGGTTGTTCGCATGTCCCGCAGCACTTTCAGAGAAATGTCTTTTTCATTGACGATAAACGCAAGCATGAAAACAGATGAAGGGAGAACAACTGGACGAATAGCCGGCCAAGAAGCGTGTCAGGATTGTGCAATTCTGTTCAATTTAGCGATGTAAAGCGGTGTCTGTATCTCCAGCTTATCAGAAGTCATAAAGTGGAGTTTGTCTTATCAAACTACGTGTGTGGCAAAAGGCCCATGGATGCAGACATCAGGAGTTTCACATCTAACATCAGCAGCTAAGTGATCAATGCTCAGTACTAGACTGCAAAACCAAATAAAATCAAAATAGCAAATGCCAGATTTCCAGCTATGTTTAACCCCCTATAAACCACAGCACTACTGAATTAAACACAACGGTTTAAATCTAAAATATGTCATCAGAAAACCTTTAGTCAAGTCATTGACCATGTAAAAAGACCATACCTTTAGAATCTTAATCTTGTTTATAATGGGTCATTAAGTTGCTGAAAGCTACACAAACATCATAAAGGTCACGGTAATCATCCTTTCCAATTAGCTTATCAGATTTTGTAATGGTTTAATGGCAGTAATGAGCAATGTAATCTCATTATCAAACCAGTGACAAAGCTGAAATACTGATTTTCATAACCACAAGCATGCAGTATTAGTTATGTCACAGTTAGAAGAAGTGTTGACCTCAAACACAGAACACAGCAACGGGCTAAATCTGCTAGTAAATCTTTTAAAGGTAAATAAAGTCAGACATTTATGCAACAAATTTAGATAAAAGATATATTTATATAGCACATTTAGAAACAGCAAGCACGGCTGACCAAAGTGCTGAACAAACAAAAACATAGAACACAGGGCAACGAGATGGACCTCACTGCAGAACACATGAACAACGTACTACGGTACACTTATAATAAGTACTTATATTTGGACTATTGTAGCCTGGTCGGGTCGTCACCGCTGCGGAGTAACACATACCTGCGTGAATCGCCATAGACAAACTTAGAGAAGTAGCTCCGGTTGGAATGTTCTTCCGCGGGATGTGTGCAGTTCTGTTTATTAACCGCTAGAGCGCCAAAAGTTACACAGTGCTGCTTTAATGTCGTTTGCCTTCTTGATGTAAATATTTTTAAAGATTTTGTTATAAATTATAGGAGTTGTAAAAAATGGATAGCTACACATTTTATAATTTAATACATTTATGATGTATATACAGTGGGTACGGAAAGTATTCAGACCCCACAGCTGGACTCAAATGAAGGTGTAGAACCATCTCAAGGATGATCAGAAGAAATGGACAGCACCTGAGTTAAATATAAGAGTGTCACAGCAAAGGGTCTGAATACTTAGGACCATGTGATATTTCAGTTTTTCTTTTTTAATAAATCTGCAAAAATGTCAACAATTCTGTGTTTTTCTGTCAATATGGGGTGCTGTGTGTACATTAATGAGGAAAAAAAATTAACTTAAATGATTTTAGCAAATGGCTGCAATATAACAAAGAGTGAAAAATTGAAGGGGGTCTGAATACTTTCCGTACCCACTGTATAATAAATTATATCATTTTTTTTTATATAACTTTATTTCCAGAAAAAGTCTAGAAATACTAGAAATGTCCACCTAATTACATGAAGTAGTTCCCAATAATAATTCTACATGTCACAGTTTTTGTTCTGTGTGCCTGGTTTTCTTACCGGGTGGATATCGATGAAAAGCCCATGTTCATCTTCATTTGGGCTCAATCCATTGACTGTGTCCAAAAGGACGGGATCAGCCTCCAAAAAGTGCGGATGGGAGATGAACACAGGGGAATCTGAGACAGGAAAAAAGAAAAAGAATAAAAGTGCATGACATGGAGAAAAAGGAAAAATAAAATCAATTCAACTCAAGTTTATTTGTATAGCGCTTTTCATGATACAAATCGTTGCAAAGCAGCTTTACAGAAAATTTAAGTTTCTACATTATGCTTAGTAGTTGCTTATCAGTGGTGATAAGTTGATGTCCATATGTCCTTAAAAAATTAAGAACAATAAAAGAGATAAGGTTAAAGAAAAGAGAGAAAAAAAGAAAAGGGCAAAAAAAATAGAAAAAATAAAAGAAAGGAAAAATAGCAAAGGAAAAAGAAAAGAAAAGGAAAGGCTAAGAAAAGAAAAAAAAAAAAAAGAAAAGAAAAGAAAAAGAAAAAGAAAAAAAAAAAATCTAAGCATGGAAGCCATATAACACACTAGCTAGAAAACCAGTATGAACAAAATGTTTACTGACACAAGAACACAGATCCTGACATAAAACCCTACAGTGTAATTGACTGTATAGGCAGCAGGTAAGTCATAAATATAAGTCTTGATAACAGAGACTCACTGTGTCTGCAGGTGCTGACGTTGAGAAGGCCGGACTGTCGACATGGACAGAAGCCCTCATTGGGAGGATAATCTGCACCGTTGGCAAAAAGAGTCTTTGGAGCCACGAAGCGGTACACAGGAACCCCACGCGACACGCCTGGCCTTTGGTACACCAGCTCCATGGACCTGAGTTTGGACAATTGCCACAAAACGTGCCCTTAGAAACCATACAGGCATTAACCCTCACTGAAGTTGATGTTTTTTCTGAGTGACATACACAAAAATAATGACTCATAACTCAAAGACTGTAGCAAGGAGAGTTAAAAGGTTGGTATCGTTTGATAGAAAACTTTCTGTACTTTCAGTGGGAAAAAAATGTAAAGGGTTTAAAGGGTTAAAATCTTATTATCTTACGGAGGGCATAAGTGAGGGTGTTACCTGCACGCATCAGGGCTATAGAAGGGCATCGTCGACTCTTTGGTCATGAACGGAGGCCACATTTGACCCGCTGTACCATTGATCAAGTTACACTCTTCAGACCTCCAGTAATCCACCTGCAACGACAAAACAAAGATCCTTGGCATACAGCATGATATCACTTCCTTTATGCAACACCACAAAATCTGTCCTACACTGGCAGCATCAAATCCAAGACAACTTTCAGTAACTTAATCTTAATAAACAGCAACTCACAAATATCCCGTAATAATGTAAACAAATAATGATTTAAAAGTCCATTTATAATATTAAAGTAATTTTTAATAAAATGTAAAAATGTTCAAATCCTGAAAATCATGAGATACTGAAGATTGGAGTAATGACTGATGAAAAGTCAGCTTTGCCATAAGAGAAAAAGAAAGGGTAACAAAAGGAAAAGAAAAGAAAAAGAGAAGAGAAATAAAAAACAAAAGATAACAATAGGAAAAGACAAGAAAAAAGAAAATAAAAAGAAAGGGTAACAACAGGAAAAGAAAAGGTAAGAAAAGAAAAGCTCCTAAAAATTCAGCTTTGCCATTACAGAAATAAATTACAATTTACTATTACTATTACTATTACTAATATACTGTTAAAATAGAAACATTTATTTTGAACTGTATTAATATTTCACAATATTACAGTTTTTAGTAAATAATTAAAAGAAAAGAATGAGTAAAAAGAAAAGGAAAAAAAGAAAAAGGTGAAAGACAAACAGAAAAATTACAATAAAAATTAAAAACAAAAAAGCAAAAAATTATGAAAAATAAAGAGATAGGGTAAAAAAAAAGAAGAGAGAAAAACATGAAAAGAAACGAGAAAAGAGTAGAAAGGAAAATAAAAAATGCAGCCTTGGTGAGCATTAAAAAATATTATTTTTTTACTTGTGTAAAATATCATATACATATTTACATATATTACATATGCAAATACTAGCTAAAATTACATATTTATTGCATATACTGTAGTACTTTATTCAATATATTTCTTTGCGAAACAATTTGGGATTGCCAACACTGCTGTTGACTAGGGCTGGGTTTTGACACAAATTTCACGATTCGATTCGATTCTCATTCACAAGCTTGCAATTCGATTCGATTACCAATTCGATTTGATTCAATATCGATTATTTTGGATATATATCAGGTACAGTACATGCCAAATTTTCTCAAGGAAAAAACTAATGCTGTAAAATATACATGAGAGTCAGTTGGTACTACATTACTATAATATTGAAGGTTAAAATTGACTGATTTGTTAAAATTACACCTAATGAAGTTTTTAAAATAATAAAGTTACAATTACATAATAATATTTCTACTTCAATTCGTTTTTTAAAATATAAACATAACGGTGGCTGTCATAAAAACTTGATGGATTTATTCAAACATAAATTTGAACTCTACAGTTTACTTTTCTAGCTGACTAATGAGTTTATGGTCACCGAATATGTTTTTCTGAGGTAAATGTGACGTTACCTGACATTGTTTACAAGCCGTTATAGGCTATTGACGTCTTTGCGCGGCTGAAACACTGATTGAGAGATTACATGAGACAGGATACAGATTGTAAAGTCGTACTCTTTCTTTTAACTTACCTTCGGATGTTTAGTCATGTTTATTTTGTGCTGAAACTGGTATTAATGTGGAGGAGACGATCAGTTCTACCGCGTCTGTTGATCTGAGGCACTACAGCGATCTGTCACTCCACATTAAACAGCGCCAAAACGGCATTTATTGTTTGAATACTGCAATACA